GTGGACCCTGAAAATTTATCATAATACTATAAGAAAGGGATTAGCCATAGTGGGACACTGCCAGGGGGGGCACATAACATCAATAAGGGTATCCAATCTCAAACCAGGTGAAGTGGGAACCAAGAGGATGTCCAAACTTTACCTGTACGATGATCACTTATGTACCTAACCACGGATTTTACCCCGCATCTTTAAAATAAAAATTAAAGCAAGAAAGAAAAAAATAAATTACAAGAAGAAAATCTGCATATAACTTCCAACTCCCCCAAAACTTAACTACTGGTAGCTTACCGTTGGCCAAAAGCCTTACTGATAACATAGTCGATTAGCACATATTTTTTAATGTTATATGTATTATGTACTGTATTCCTACAATAAAATAAGGTAGAGAAAAGAAAATGTTCTAAGAAAATAATAAGGAAGAGAAAATATATGTACTATTCATGAAGTGGAAGTGGATCATCATAATGGTCTTTATCCTCATTGTCTTCATGTTGAGTAGTCTGAGGAAGAGGAGGGGTTGGTCTTGCTGTCTTAGGGATGGCAAAGGTGGAAGGAAATCTGCATATAAGAGGACCCTCACAGTCACTAAATTATTATCATTAAAGTGTTTTGGGTAAGCAATAAGAATAATCTTCATTATTTGTCACCATCTTGGCTTGACATTTTGTAATACAGGGGTTCTAGGGCTTCCTTTTAATTGCAGATATTTTGTAGTTTGGCTTGAACAACAGTCATACCTAAAATCAAAACCTCCCCAAAATATGTATATCCAAATGGAAGAAACTCATCATTGGTTCAACACGGTAAGTCATGACTCTCGCTTTTCAAATTTACCACCAATTACATAAGGATTTTTTTTTTAATCAATATTTTTTATTATGGTTTTGTGGGGTACAGTTAAGGGTTAGGTGTACAATTACGTTTCATTCAGGCACCCTGTTGATAAGAGGTGTTTCCCCATCCCCAGACAGATATTTGCTACTGTTAACATAAGAAATTTTATACAGTAGCAAGAGACACATAAGATATTATATTAAAATAAAGGACACACTCTATCAAGAAGACCTCACAATGGTAAATATATCTCTACCCTACAGTGGAACACAATATATAAAGCAAATATTATATAACTGAAGAGAGAAATAGAACTCAATGCTCCACTTTCAACAACGGATAGATCACGCAGAGAGAAAATCAATAAAGAAACATTGCATGCGAACTAAACTTTGGAGCAAATGGATCTAACTGTCATATACAAAATAATCCATTGAAAAGCAGCAGAATACACATTACTTCCATGCACAAATGAAATATTCTCCAGGATAGATAATATATTAGGCTACAAAAAAGTCTTTAAAAGTTTAAGATACAAATCGCATTAAGTATCTTTTCCTGCCATGGTATGAAACTTGAAATAATAAAAGGAAATTGGAAAATTAAAAGAGGGAATATTTAAAAATACCATCCGGCATAATCAATTGATAATTCTATGGTTAACATTTTTAGCAACTGTAAACCTGTTTTCCACAGTGGCTGCATCAGTTTTCACTTCCTCAGTAATTATACGAAAGGTTCAGTTTCTTTACTGACACTTATTGTCTGTCTTTTTTTATTACAGCCATCCTAGTGGGTATAAAGTGGCATATCGCCATGGTTTTTCATTTTCATCTCTCTGATAACTAATGATACTGAGCATACTTAATGTGCTTCTAGACCGTTTGCATATCTTCTTTGGTAAAATATTTTTACTATTTCTAAATTAGATCATTTGTCTTCTTGTTGGTAAGTTTCATGACTTCTTTATATATTTTGAAGTCATGTTCCTTGTTGGGTATGTTATTTGCAACTGTTTTCTCCTATTCTTTGGCTTGACGTTTGACGAGTGGATTATTTGGCGCAGTAAAGCTTTACGTTTTGATGAAGTTCAATTTATCTTTTTTTTCATTGCTTGTGTTGTATCTAAGAAGGCTTTGCCTGATCCAAAGTCATGACGCTTTACTCCTGTGACTTGTCCTAAGAGTGGTACAGTTTGAGATCTTACATTTAGCTTAACATTTACATCTAATTAATTTTTAGTAAATTTTTGCTTATAGTGTGAGGTAAGGGTGCAATCCTATTCTTTTGCTTAAGGATGTTACCTCAGCACCATTGTTAAAGAGATTTTTCTTTTTCTTTTTTTTGAGTTGGAGTCTCACTCTGTCACCCAGACTGGAGTGCAGTGGCCGCTCCCGGCCACCGCAGCCTCGACCTCCTGGGCTCCGGCGATCCTTCCGCCTCAGTCTTCCGAGTAGCCAGAATTACAGGCATGCGCTACCACGCCGGGCTGATTTTTTGATTTATTGTAGAGATGAGGTGTCGTCAAGTTGCCCAGGCGGGTCTCGAACCCGCGGGCTCAGGCAATCCACTCACCTCAGCCTCCCAAAGTGCGGGATTACAGGCTGAGCCACCGAGCCCGGCTAAGAGATTTTTCTTTCCTCCACTGAATAGTCTTAGCACCCTTACTGGAAATCAATGATATATAGATATATGGGCTTATATCTGACTCTCAATTCTATAACATTCACCTATATGTATGTCTAGCCTTATACCTAGTCCATTAACATTTAATGAAATCATACATTTAAAATTTTTGTTATCTCGTTGCCCACTCTAGTTTTTCCCCATTCCTTCTTTACTGCCTTCTTATGAATTTTAATGTTAATTTTTTCCTGCAGTTTCCAGTTGTTGACTTTAGAAAACGATGTCACCTAGTATAAATAGTGAATACTAGATCCCATGTAGCCTTGGGCAAATCACAAGGCCTTATTGTTTTGTTTTGTTTTTTTATCTATGAAGTAAGATTAATAGCTGTATTACTTACCTCACAGGGTTAAACGATAGTTTAGAGGGTCAATGAGATAGTGTGTGTGAAAATACTTGTAAACTGTAAGTCTGTACTTACTGTCAAGAGATTACAATTATGATCTGTAAAAAGTTGGCCTTATGAACAAGCACAGGAATTCCAATAATTTCTTCTGCTCTCTGGAATAAATGGTGAGTTAACGATTTAGGGAGACCTAAGTTCAAAACCGCTGGGCTACTTATAAACCCTGTGGCAGGTTTAACTTCTCCAAGTTTCAGTTGCCTTACATGTAAAAGGAGATTACTAACACCTTCCCTTCTGGGATGATACGGGGGGAAATTAGAGAATATCTGTGCAAGTGCCTAATGCAGCGCTGGACATTTCCTGAAGTGACAATGAGTGTCAAAACCCTAGTGAAGGTTGGGTGCAGTGGCTCATGACTATAATCCCTTGGGAGGCTGAGGTTGGAAGATCGCTTGAGACCAGGACTTTGAGACCAGCCGGGGCAACAAAGAAAGACCTTGTCTCTCTAAAAAATTGAAAAATTAGTCAGGCGTGGTGGTGCACGCCTGTGGCCCCAGCTACTCGGGAGGCTGAGGAGGAAGATCACTGGAGCCCAGGAGTTAGAGGCTGAAATGAACTGTGAATTGCACCACTGCACTCCAGCCTGGGAAACAGAGTGAGCCTCTGTGTGAAAAACGAAAAAGGGTGGGGGGGGGGACCTGAAGAAGACGATGCTTTCTTGCCCTTTTCCCCTTCCAGTTGTGGCGCCTTGAAGCCTGGGAGGAAAGACTACTGTATTCTTTCACTTGATTCTCACCATAGCCCTGTGAGATCAGCTAAGCGGGTGTTAGTATGCTCATTTTCTATATGGGGAAACTAAGAATATTGTGATATTCTGATTGTGCCATGTACTATCTAACACTAATGAATGTTGCGTGATGTCCAAAAATGGTGCCACGGGATGCTCGTTTCTCTTTGAAAATAATACCTTTGGCATTATCAATTAAGGCTGAGCACACACATACCTTAATGGCCCAGAACTTCCATTCCTCAGTTTATATCAGACAGAAATGAATGTATGTTTGCCAAAAGACATGCAATAGAATGTTCATAGCAAAAACAGAAGTCCTTCATCTTAGCCAGGGTTTTCCAGTGGCTTCCCGTGTTTAAAGTCTTTACCTTGGCCTCTGACTACCCTGCATCCACCATATCATTTCTCCCACCATTATTCCCCTTGCTTGCTTAGCTCCAGGCTCATGGCCTTCTTGCTGTTCTGCAAACACAATAAAATTCCATTCCACCCCAAGTCTTTGTACTTGCTGTTCCCTCTGCCCAGAACACTCCCCCCCTCAGCTTGTTACATCGCTGGTTTCTTACCATACAGGTACCAGCTCAAATGTCACTTCCTCAAAAAGCCCTCCACTCAACATTCCAGTTTAAATAGATTTCCCAGTCACACTTTATCACGTAACACTGTTATTTTTCCATGGCATTTGCAACTGGCTGAAATTATCTTGTTTATGTACTTCTTATTTATCATCTACCTTCCTCAATAGAAGGCTGAGAGCTCCTCGAAGGCTGAGGTTGTGTCATGTCTGCTATATTCACCATCGTATCTGCAACGCTTGCCTAGTGCACAGGCAGTGTTCATGTAAATGCTAGGATTGAATGAATGATCAAATATCCCTGGGTGAACTGTCCACTCGGCTATAACTGGGATTTCTCCCATAAAGGGAGACACTTGAGAAGTTATGAGTCATCCTGTTAAAAAGAAAGCTTTGTTAGTACAATGTCTCTTGCCTGCCTCAGCTTGCTGAGGAAAAAGCTCAGAGCTTTCCCCGATGCTCCCATGAACTTTGGCCAATGCGGACTTACTCTCTGGAAAGTGCCTCAGTCAGAACATCACATCCTAAGATGGGAGAAACCAGCTGGAACTTAGCTGCGATCCTGTACCCCCAGATTCTCCAAAGAAAAACATATACGGTCAACAGGCAATGGAACCCCTCTCTCCGATCCTGTATTTCTGAGAGGATTGACTTAACGTCACTTCATCTCTGGGACAAGTAGTGAACACAGGGAAAGCCTTATATAAAATTGTTCAATAAGCAACAGATGTCTTTGACGTGTGTTTGAGATCTTTCTTCTCGTGCTTCCATGTTAGGTACAACAACTACGACCGGGCTGTCATCAATACCATACCTTATGATGTCGTCCATCGTTGGTATAGAGCACACCGAACTCTAACAGCAGAGTTGAGGAGACCTGAGAATGAGTTTTGGGTCAAACTAAAGCCTGGCAGGGTGGGTCCTAAACTCTAAGGATGTCAAATAAGCTTGTTATACTGAAGCAGTGATGAACGGGTGTTTATTTAATATGTGAGTCACAGTGTCACAAAGGGAGAAGAGAGAAAAGAGTTCTTTCTGGGTGTTCTAGGAAGCAGAGACTCTATTTGTGCGATGGGGGGGTTTAGCTGGATGATCCCCAAGGGTCCTTTCAGTTTCATGATTTCATTATTTTTATTTTGACATTTCCTCTGAGATGAAGGATATCTTCAGTTTAGCACAAAACATAATGAAATAGTTTAACCCTTTGAGAAAGTACAGAATAAGAATTAAAGAGAAAGAAAAAGAAGGAAACCAATTACTAGGTTTGCTTTGATAAGAGGGAGGGCAATTACTCAAGAAACAGAAGCTTCTCAAGTGCATAGCCTACTGTAGCCTCCGATTGCCTTTGCAACTTCCATTTAGCCTATTACAGGGCTATACACATCTTAATTTCCAAAAGTCTATTTAATTTCAAAAGAAAAATACCTCATTGGCTATAACCAGAGAACAACCTAAAGTTTTTCTTTTCAATGATCTCTTCTGACTTAGGGTTTCTTTGGCCCGCCCTTGTTCTGATGGTGTTTTCTCTCTCTTCTTGCCCACTCACAGGTCCTATTTATAGACAACTGGCGTGTCCTACATGGCAGGGAGTGCTTCACTGGCTACCGCCAACTCTGTGGCTGCTATTTAACAAGAGATGATGTATTAAACACGGCTCGTCTCTTGGGGCTTCAGGCTTAAAATTGACAACATCAGAATTATGAATACACCTGGCACCTTGGCTACCAGAATCTCACATCAGCAGAATGATACTGTGTCAAAACCTACTTCAGATTGTCTCCTTACCCATCCCACAAAACAGAAGCAGTCCTTTTCTCTAGTGGAGGAAACCTGTTGGAGAAGGGGCCTCTGTCTGATGTCAGCCATCTCTAGTAGGGTAGCTCTCTTCCCTCACGTTATAATATGAGCCCGCTTGTTTTTTTAAAAAACCTTTTGCTATAATTTTGGTCAATTTACTTCAGGAATATAGTCTCTAGATTGATAGGAAAGCAATAAAAGTTATGAGGTAAAACGTTTTACCAACTAGATCAGTTAGAAAGAAATGCATTCTAGAAATAACAAAATCCTGATAAAGCAGCAATTTATAAAAGTTGTGGTCTTAGGATACCTCAACACCCTTAAAAGTTATCGAGGGCCCTAAATAGAGTTATTGGGTATGGTTTCTATCCATTGGTATTAATTAGATACTAAGATGGAGAAACGTTTAAAACTCAGGAACACAGAAGCACACATCCCTCAGCTATCAGATAGGTGACATGGTCATATGTCATATAGCCTCTGGAAAAGTCCTCTGTGTACTCATAAGATAATGAGAATGAGAAAAGCTACTATTGCCTTTGCAACTTCCATTTAACCCACTACAGAGCTAGACATATCTTAGTTTCCAAAGTCTGTTTAATTTCAAAAGAAAAATACTACATTGAATGTAACTCAGTGCCGTTACACAAAATAATTTTTAACTCACAGACCCACTAAAAGGGTCTCAGGGACGCCTCCTCCAGATGTCTTCAGACCATACTTTGAGAACCCATGGGCTAGAGAACACCTTGGGACAGTCCTTTACATAGACCTGTGGATCAAAAAGGTTTAGCTGAAATGCTAGATTTTTCTCCATAGTCAAGTGGAACTCCAAATGCTGTAGTAATTCCTTGGCAGCACAAGCTCAGTGATAAGGTGGGAACTGAGTGTCTTAACCTTCCGAGAAGGGTTAGCTCTACCCAGCTCATCACTAAAGTTGCTGAACTAGGAAGTTACAACAGCGCCTGTTGAAAAAACTCATGGGTTTGGTAATTCTGTGAAAGATAATTGCAGAAAGTTTTTAGAGATGTGAGGTTTCATATGCTAATTCTTCACACACACACACACAGAGGAAAGAGTACACAGGGCTGTTCTGTAAGATTGTGTTCAGAGAACTCAGCATGGTAGATGATGTACCTCCAGAGAACTGGAGATTACCATCCAAATCTGTATTTTGGCAATTTGGTGGCATTAAGTATGTAATCTATTTTCCCCCATGCCCGCTAATCTTTTTTTTTTTCTCTCTCTCTCTCTTAAAATATTATACATGTTAATTGCCAAGATTTGACAGAGTGAGATCTAATGCTTTGCTCCTTTTATTTTTTTAAGTGGCTTCTTTTATGTATTGGGTGGGGAGGGTATAAGGCTTCTTTTCCTCCACCTTTCATTGAAAGCGAAACTGTACAATAACCGCACTGACCACTGTAGAATGATGACAGAGAATCTAGCTAGGAGGTACACAAGAGGGGGGTAAAAGCATTATTAGTGAAGATAGGAATCACAGAGCACATAAAAGTCAGTATTCTGACAATGAATAGAGCCCAATCTGATGTTTCCCGGGAGTTCCTAGGCCACTTTTGGTAGTTTCTATGTTGTTTTTTATTATTATTATTATTATTATTATTTAACTTTTAATTTTAGAGTCCAGGGATACACATGTGTGTTCGTTACATGGACATATATTGTGTAGTGGTGGGGACTGGGTCTCAGGTGACCCATTCTCCAGATAAGTTCATACGTTACTTTTTTGTGGACCCATCTAGTGCTTCAAAATGTGTTCTCAAAATATTTCTGCATTTTATTTGTACTGTATAGGAATCTCTAGGGGTCTTCCATGAAAATGTTTTTGCTCTTAGGTCAAAGGATTGATAATTAAGTTTGGATCTTAAGGAGTATACCCTTTAGCAATCAGAACAGAAGCAACATCATTTTAACCATGCAGTCTTTTATCTCCACTATTAGGCACTCCTAAAGTCTGTCACCATTAGTCTTCGTGAGGATATTTACCTTTTCGGAAGTTTTGCATAAATTAGCCTTAAAGATTACACTATAGCTGAGGTGAGCACTGATTTATGACAAGCAAAGGACACGTTCGTGGCCCTGGACAGAGAAGGGCCAAAATAAATAAATAAATAAATTTGCCCCTTACTGAAGGACTCCCCTTACCTTTTGTCTCTCCCGGGACCTTGGTCCGGTAATCATTTCACCCTCCTTTTCTTAAATTTTCAACCAGTCCCTTCAGTACATTGAAGAAAAAGGGAAGGGAATTATTTGAGTGCTGGTCACGAAGCGTTGAAAACTTTCTGTGTGAGATGTTTCTTTTTTACATCTCTTCTAGGTATATAAGCATGGGTCTGTGTCTACCAAGCTCACTGTAGAGTCATTTTCACCTTGTGCTATGATGGAATGAGATCTGTAGGGTCAGGAGCACAGCCCCCATCACAGTGCCTTACAAACAGTAGTTTCACAATACAGATTTGTCAGAAGAAAAATAAATGAATTATTCCTTTTCAAACAAACTCACCAGAAATTACCACATTCACTGTAAGTATGTCCTTTTGTGTTTGGCAGTTAACTGACGCTGAATTTTGTTCACCTTCATTTTTTGTTCACTCAACCCCCAGGCAGCAGACCAGTACCTGTCTGTGGCCTGTTAGGAACTGGGCCGCACAGCAGGAGGGGAGCGGGCCAGTGAAGCTCCATCTCCTGTCAGATCAGCAGCGGCATTAGATTCTCATAGGAGTGTGAACCCTATTATGAACTGCGTGAAGGAGAGGGATCTAGGTTGTGCTCCTTATGAGAATCTAATGCCTGGCGACCCTCTCCCACCCCACCCCACCGCCTCTCCCTCTGTGGAAAAACTGTCTTCTACAAAACTGGTCATCCCTGATGCCAAAAAGGCTGGGGACCGCAGCTCTAGAGTGACCAAGCATCTCCGTGTGCTCATGACTGAGGGTTTTTCAGGACTGCAGAAATTTCCATTTTAAAACTAGGAGAGTCCCACCCAAACCAGGACAGTTGGCTGATCACCTTACCTTTGTGCAACTAGCTGTGTATTTTTCTTTAGTTTTCATCACTGGTTCCTATTTCTTTCAAAGTGTTTGCAGACCAAAGACTCTATATTCCATGATGAAAAAGAAAAAAGATGTAAGAACCATGGTGTGCTGTGGTGGTGGTTCCCAAAGTAGTGTCCCCAGACCAGCTGCCTCAGCATCATTTGAGAAATTCCTAGAAATGCAGTTTTTTTCAAGTCCTACCCCACACCTACTAAATCAGAAAATCTGGGCCTGGGGACCAGCAGTTTGTTTTAGCAAGCCCTCCAGGGGATTCTAACGCACTCCAAAGTTTGAGAACCACTGACAGGAAAAGTCCCATTGCTGAGTTTTTAGGCACCGTTCTGGCACTGACTCACAAGATGACTTGAGGTATGTCAAAATATGAGCTGCAGTTTTCTCTTCTGTGGGATAAAACCTTGGCCTGGGCAGCATCTAAATCCTCTGCCACTCTGTAGTTGTGTGACTTTGGTCATTTTGTTTGACTTCTCATTGCTTAAGTTTTCCCATATGTGTATGGTAAGGAAAATACCTACCTCACAAGATTTTTTAAAACAATTTTCTGATGTTTCCAGCATCTATTGATGACTAATAATAATAGTAGCTAACTCTCACATAGAGTGCTTTCTATGTGCTGGATGCTGTTCTAAGTGCTTTTAATTCCTACGAGAGTCCTATCCCCGTTTTTCAAATAAAAATAGAGGCAAGGTTGAGATTAAGTGTCAGAGTTCAGATTAAAACCCCGAAAATCTGTCCCCTGAGACAATGCTTTTAACAAGTATGCCCAATTGTTCAATAAATGTTAATTCCCTCATCCTTTCCACACTTTCAGTCTAGCTGACCATTTATAGACAATAATCATCATTCCCATGTTCACAGTCCACCCAACAAGATCTTAAAAGGACCATGAGGATATCTAGGTTGGTTAGTTTTCAAACAAAAAAAAAATCACGTTTTCTAATTTTGCCTCTCCAAAGATGAAAGACTATCGAGAGAAGGAATTTAGCCTGCTCAGCATTTTTTTTTCTCCTTACCAGACTATTGCAAAATACCAGTCAGTTGTTATGATCAAAACCATTTTATAGGACATATCCATATCGCTGGCCCCCGGGTGCTCTTGGGCATATTGGAGATCCATGCACAGAGCCAGCTGGTGGCTTAGCTCAGCTCCTACTTGTGAGGCCAGACCGTGGCCTCCCTCCTCACCTCCCTCAGAAGCTAAGACCCTGGCAGATTTTTTTGTCAGACTTCCAGACAGGGGTTGGTGGGTTTGTAGGTAACTCCATCCTAGTCCTTGGCTTTAATCGGTGAGCCTGGCTTTTGTCCTCCGTCTGCCTCAGAGCACTTTGGGACTGCTATACCTCACAAGAGCTTAGCTTCTGGCTACCATGGTTTGCTTCCAGACCAGCGAGCCTGGCACTTCAACATGGAGACAATTATCGCTTTTGTTTTGTCCTGGCCATGGATTTCCTATTTTACCTTTTTATGTTTTGTCTATCATTGCCATGTGTTTGGAGCGGCGGGCTCTCCGTAGTAGTGTAAACTCACTGTACCATCACAAATGGGCACTCAATGGAAATCTTTCCCATGTGGATTTTACTCTCCCCTGATTCCCTAAATTGCAAACTATGACTGCCCACCTTCTCGATGATTCGGGCTTACTGTTATAACTGTTTTTGTGCCAGGCTATAAAGCAGGATAAAAGTCTTAGCTCGATTAATGCAAACCAAGCTGCCTTTCTGAAGAAGAAGAAGAAAAAATCAGGCATCTTTTACGATCGAGATAAATTGCCTTTAAGCCATGTTGGTGTGTGCCATGTAGATTCATAGTGGTGTTCTAACTTACTTTCTTTGTGGGAAGATAAGCACGGTCAGTTTTATCCCGTGCACAGCTGAAGATCGCAAGGATTAATACTGTGTAAACCTGGGCAGCCAGTGAAGGTTTTTCTCTGACTTCAGAGAAAAACCCCATGCTTCTCCACGGTCTACCCATTGATGGTGGCCACTCCCTCCAATTCAGGTAGTTGGCGTCCTCTCAGCTTCTGTTCTCTAGCTTCCACTCTGATGCCTTGACTGAGGCAGCATAGTGCCGTCAAAGGGAGAGCACAAACTTGGACTGACCTGTGCTTGAATTCCATC